GGCTACTTGACGGACGTATTATTCCAAGTTGCATCATGTGCTAAAATTCGGCTTTAACAACATTAAGCTTGTCCAGAGGTGATCGATGTGGACGTGCCGAAACTGGTTGGCTTATTGTGGTGATTCGACGTACTACGGAATGTTGGATCATGTTTTCCATGTAGTCTGATCTCGTTATCTTGGAAAATTTAGATAAAATATTAGCGAATATGTCGTTTAATGGGGTGTTGATTTTAGTACCACATATGTGACAGTTCGCCTGAATTTCCAGAACTTGAAGTTCTTTGCAAGAGTCGATAAGTTTTCTTTTTTAACATCAACTAATAAGTTATAGGAGCTTAGGAAGTCTGCACCTGATGTTGGTAACGGACATCGGCGATAACAACCAGGTTAGACGACGTCTAATTCTTAAGTCTAGTGTCGGGAGTTGTTCTCCAAATGTCATTATCTCAGTTTTATTGGTCGTTCGTGAGAAGTATTTCCCACTTTTAACAATAGGTCTCTTGACTAAGGTAACTGGAATAACACTGACTTCGGCTCCAGTGTCTACTAAGAATTTGTAGCCGAAACTCTTGTCGAGGACGTGAAAGATGAGACTAGGGGCATTTCCAGTAACATTTGTCGTTACTACTGTCTGGTGATACGTTTTGGCAAAGAAGATTACTCCCAAAATTTTCAGAACGTAACATACTTCTTAGCTATGTCGCCATACTATCTATGGTACCAGCAAATGTGGTCGTCATATTTGTTTGTTCTTGTGGTGACCGGGTTCTCACCCCCTCGGGAACAGGAGCGAGACCTTCGAGACATGAGGTTGGGACTTAATGATCGTGATGCATTTAGTTTGTCTTCAAAACTAGAAACAGTACCTGCGTGGTGTGTACATAGGTCTTTTTATTCAGCTGTTAACGATACTATGGTCAGGGTTTGCGTGTCACTCGAAGTTTCTGATATCGTCTACACGTAAGGTGTTGTGCCAGGCGTTACTTCTAAAATATTGTCAGCCATGCTGGCTAGACTCTCTAAATCTAAAGGTTTGCTAGAATTACAGAGAATTTGCCTGACTACCGTTGGTAAGCGTTGCAGCCAAATTTCTTTCAGAAAACCATCAGCAACCTTATAAAGCTTAACAAACTGCTTCATCTGACGTAATAGTTGGGTGATTTTTCACCTAACTTGCACTCGTGCAGCAATTGTTGCTACTTCTTTTCATCATTTACGAAGGTATGTTGAATAATAGCCTGTTTCAATTGATTATAGGCATTAGATGCAGGGCCATTAACTGTAAGATCCGATACCTCAAATGCTACTTCACTCGGCATGATTCGAAGCGCAAAAGAGTATTTTGATTCCTGTGAATGTATGTTACGATGCTGAAATTGTACTTCCAACTGTGCAAACCAAATATGTGTGTTTTTTCTACTGATTGGAGGTACATTTATCAAGTTTAGAGCGTAGAACTCTGTTGAAACGGTATCCCTGTTAATGCCTTCAGATTCAGATAAATATACAAAAAATAATCACTACCAAGAGGAAAATCAACGCCGTACTGTTTGCGAGTGAACTCAAAATTACAATTTCGAAAAATGAATGTGCAGGCTCACCAGATTTGTGGTGGACCCCAGCAAAAGAGCTTATTCACGATTTAACAATGTGCAAACTCTACCAATAATATACCAAAAAAGAGCTAACACTACAAACCTAAATGCCTTTCTATGAGTAAAGCAAAATGTAACAAATTATAGTTACAGTATAAATCGTATATCATGTGACATTCAGTTCATAACAACTATTATCATTTTATCATGGAAATTTTGTGTTATCAAAGGCTGCAATTAAACGCAACTCAATTTCGTAAATGTGCCCTTCAGCTTAACAACCAATCAGAATGATTTTTAACATTTGTCCACAGCCAGCTGCATTTAATTGAGACACAGAACATCTTCTAAGACTATATACTGCTGTTTTGCGGGCAACCAAAAGCTCAGACACTTAGCTATCTTGCTACCGATGTTATTGCTGGGGAAATTGTTTAATGACAGTGATCATGAAATATGGTCAGTGATAGATGTACAGTTTAGAAATAAACACCAAACATACTTATCGCTATCTTATAATGCATGATAGCAACAGCATCAAAGGCACGTTTTTTCCTATTTTAATTCAGACTGATCTGAATCCGTATACACATTAGAAACAGGCAACTCTACTTACTAAACTGATCTGTTTCGTTGCAGGCTTCAAGCACTATACATAAGTATATCATAATTCTTTCAACTAAACTGAATTATACGACAACCAAGAAAATCAAACTAAGCAAGTGTCATAGTTATTGTTTCACTTACAAAGACATGTTGCTCATAGTAGGTAAATGGACATAATTAAGCCGATAAAATCAAAACACGAAATATAGGCCAATTGAACTTACCTAAGAAAAAAAGGATATATATATACTGCTTTAAAGCAGTATACAGTATGAATTCATACTGAAGACAACAGGGAGTTGATCATAGAAACACAGTTTACAGTACAACAAACCTTTCTTCAGTAAAATCATGCACTGACAGTCTATCTGGAAACAATCAACTATGTGAATAAAATCACTATGACTTGATATATCATCTCAGCGTGCAATGGACGTACAGTGTAACGCAGTCCGACGTGGCGAATAAAAATTAAAAACAGAGAAAAACTAACTACATAATCTAGTTATTTAATTAAAAATACATTATGAAATGACAAAATCTGTGGTTACTTGAACGCACAAATGACAGTGTGCGATACATTAAGTTTACATTGGTTGCGTTGCGGATAAGATCACCCGTTATCAAATATTACCAACTTTATTTGAGAGCTTTCCGACTCTCCCATACAGTAGTAACAGTAGTTTTGGACCGAGATACACCGTTGTGTGCGATCTTTGCAGATAAGGACGACTAGAGAACCCGACTGATCTTCATGACTGTGGAGAGCAAAGCTTATATATCAGATCGCCTGAGTTTCAATGGCTTCTCCAACCATTTGGGATCGTTTTCCTGCATGAAATACCTCGACCACTTTGCAAACCTAACGCGCCTTCCTGAAAAATGCCCTCGAAACACGGAGTGAATACAGTACACAGTACAGCGGGAATTTCAGCCTTTGACGAATCCATAAGAAAATCGTACGTGCTACATATTATTTTTGAAATATTTCACCTGAGATAGTGGAAAAATCGTAAATGAAGTTGTTATTTAGGTGGAGCTAAAAATCCTCTCCACTATCTTAAAGTTTTTATTATTCTATAGTCACCCGGATTTGTTGGTATGATCAGTTGGGTTAAAGAAAATGACATCTCTAGCGACTGAAGCAAAAGAGTCGTAATGTCACTTTCTCGTAATATTTTTATTTATGTTGTACTAATTGCGCTGAAAAACGTTTATATGATTAAATCAGTTATGGATAGAATGTAGTCTTTGCAACCTAGCTACACATAAAATGAGTGTACGTCTTCAAGCTCATGCCGCCTCTTGTCTTAATCCATATGTGGACCTAAACTTGGGATCCTTTGCTCTCCCTATGATAAACATTAGTATCATACCAACCTAGTATTGTACACCTTAACTCCAGAAAATCACCAGAGCGGTAGCTTACGTGATGCTTAAGGAACATCCGCTCATGGTTATTCTGCTGCTTAAAAAGCACTTTGACTTAAAATTTCTTCCAGAACTATTTAAAGTCGTTTCTAGTGTTTACTTAAGATTTAGTTAATAAACCCCAATATTATGGACCCTTACATGAACAAACATCTCATCCCCTTGAAACGTGCCCTGAAAAAAGCATGAATGAAGGCTTTAATTGTGCAACATGAGCACAAAAGGTTAGTTGGAGGGTAAGATCTCATAATGGTGAATCACATTGGCCTTAAACTTTACCCCAGTATATCACTTATGCGTTTCAGCAGTTAACTGCACCTATAAGGATATCAATTTATGCTAATACGGAGAGCTTAAATAAAAATTTATGCAAGCGTTTTCACGGTTTTAACTGCTAAGTGCCGAAACAACTTACGAGAAAGGACAATAATGACAGTTCTAGTGAATCTACTTAAAGAAGGCTTAAAGATTACTTTAATTCTTTATATACTGAAATGGACTACGATAGGTGGTCCTACCTCATCACTTTTCTGTATATCAACCGATGTTTTGCCTCTTCGTGCTGGAAAGGAAAATAACAAGAATTATGTTTCTTAATATTTATAACCCCTCTCCTACGTTCCAGACCAGAATAGCGTGGGACAAACAGTTCATTGATTTTGCACATTTAAATTGAAGAGAGGGAGGAAGTGGACATCGTCACTGTGAGAAAATAGAGACATACAGCGACAGGTATCTTCATCTAGCAGTACCATTTAAAACTAACAAGGTCGCTGTAAATGTTGAGTGACTACATATATGTTTGTTTTTAAGAATGATTAACAGAAATATGTAACATGAACATTGTTGGGAACTTAACTACAGTACGAATTTATGATCGGTGGAAATGGCCTAATGCTCAAAGAGATCTATTGGTTCGAATAGTTCCAGATGGAATAGAAAACGCCCTCTAATAACGACCTTCTGTGTCTAGAAGCAGTGGATCACCGAGTCCTCTAAGTTTGGATATGGTTAAACAAAAAAGCAGAGGCAAATGAGGACGCCATAGGTATTTTTAGTTTGACAACACTTCATCCAGTAACAACCATAAATGAATCGTCCCCACTCAATGAGATCAAAAGTCAGAAGCGAGGAAGTTCAAAGATATGTCTGGTAGACTATCAATATATAGAGAAACAACTGGTCTAGACTGTTGCAGGAAAAGTTGAGCACGGCGTCCCTACTTGTGATCTGGAGCGGATGTATGTCTGAGCGCCTTCAGTTAGGTGAGTTCATTGAAACTAATATGGTCAAAGACTTACATAAACATCAGCATATTGGTATGAAATACTATCGACGAGTTATAATAACCTAAGCTACTAAATACCGAGATTGATTTCGTTCTTGACTGGATTTTGGTGAAGTTAAAGCCAGATCATGCATGAAACTCCTAATATGTGTAGTAGATACTGGTAAGTTATCGTTATTCTTGATTGTTGCAGTGAGTTTGAGAAGACTGAAAAAGTCCGACCGCGCAGTATTTAAGTTGCGCCAAAGTAATGGCAACTGGCAGTTCGGGTGATAGCTACTATTGCCACTCTTGCGAGGCTGAGGTCGTCCCAAACTTGCAGGTTATTTTAAAATAACATTCGTTAATTATTGTTCAGGACTTTACATGCTCGGCGTGCCACTCAGGTTTCATTGAAGCAATCAGCCCAGGGTAATTTACTTTCTGCTCCTTTCCTATTGTTTTCAGAAGTGGTTTATCATCGAATCAAACAGAAGTATATATCTGTCATTCTAACCTTTATTTATGACAGTTAGATGCAATGCAGATGATAGGTCAGCTATTTGGAGGTTCTCTTAGCGACAATATTGTTCGCTATTTTGCAGCACCTAGGGATGACCTTAGTTCAACAGATGATGAGTCATTAGAAAGGGAAAATTTAGCTAGAAGGTCGCGACGATCGACAAGAAGTTCAAATAATAGGTCGACACGAGAACGTGTGTATACTCGTGTTCCGGATGGTCGTCATGCTTTTTCTACTCGCATCCAGTTATCAAGTGTAGATCATCCATTCAGATTGCCATTCTTATCAAACTTTGCCTCATCTGATGGAGATGTGCAGAATTTTGTTTTTAATAGAGGTGAGTATGTTTCTCGAATATATATTAAATAAATTAGTTTCACTGCTTACTATACTGTCATCATATTCGTATAAAGATTGAAATATTTATCTGACAACTATTTTTTGGTAGTGGGTGCACTACTTTTGGTTCAATATAACCTCTGATTTTACTAAGAAAGTCACTAAAAGTGCTAGTTTATGCTAAGTGTTTCGATAAAAGTTGATCCACTCATCTCAACTTCTAGACATCTGTGTATCAAAAGAACTGATTTTATACTCTGTACCTGTACTGGACTATATTAGTATAGTGTTTACGGAAGCTATCAAATTTTGCAGTTTACACCGTAGACTGACCTCAGACAAAGGATTATTGTCTAAGGTCGGTCTGTGATGCAAACCACTGTTCTTTGTGATTGTCAATTAGGTATTAAATTAGTTATCGGCTAATGTGTTTAATCTTAAGCTACTTTTTTGTGGCGTTACTATATGACTGCCTGAATATATGTTCCGAACCTGTGACCTTCAGGCTAAAGTAGTGTACCCCAGCTACTAAACCGACTCTCTCCCGTTCAAACTTCTATAGTTAATTGAAATTCTAAGTTATGAGAATACTTTCTAGTCATTTACTGTCTTTTTGTCGTGGCTACGGTGTTTTTTAAAGTAGAAGTGCAGTAGGGAAAAGCTCAGTGGTTGCCAGACTAAACCAAAAGATTACTCTGTAAAATCATTTGTTACTGATTCGTACAAATTCAGCTTTTTCCTTTAGTGTATTAAAAGGCCAGTAGTTAGAGAATAGATTACCTACTTAAGAAGTTTTAACTGCTCAGGCTGTCTTCTTGACAGCTGTAAACCATAATAGTGTGGTTATCACGTCCTCTTTTTAAGGTATTGATAGGTAATCATCTTTTAGATGCTCTTTTTGCTATCTTCCCTATTCATTTGACTCGCCTACCACCTGTTCATACTTCGAATAGTGAAAAGTTAAGAATGCGTTCATGAGAAAATTAGCTAGGAACTCACCCGATCATGAAAATCACCCCGAAAAAGCTTGGAGTGTTATCGATAGATCTGTTTAAAAAACCATGTTATCTGTTAGTAGTTTTAGTCGGAAAGTTAAGAAAGGTCAATGGGTTTCGTAAACCTACTAAATTGGTAGCTGCTCTGAAACCTATCTAGGGATTTCCATCAACTCTTAGGAAGGAAATGCAGCAGTACCTGTTGAGTTCACTTCAGAGGTCTACTAGGATGGTGGTCTATCTTTGATAGTTAAGTTGACTGGGAAAGTTTGGGAGTCAGATGTACTACCATCTGCCTGATCTTTATTGATAACCGTCCCAGTTTATAGGGAGGGTTTAAAATCCCCCCCCCCCCCGTAAAAAACACAAGAATGGCTATGGCCAATATGCTGTCTAAAATATTAGCCTCAATAATCGTCCGTCACTTATTTGGAACTCAAGAAGAGCATACTCCAAAAACCAGGTTGGGTTCGTATGAATGTGGATGTGTCAATCAGACATTACCATTGGTTAAGTTATGCAACACGTACCCATTGCCATCCTTAATCGCATTTCAGGAAATGAAGGTGATATTTGGATACTTTGACCGGAGGGTTTGCTTGGCAGTATCTGACTTTGAATCATCATTCGCGTCTCGGCGGACTGCCGAGTGAGCGGAGGTGATACTAAGTGTCGGGTATTAGGTACTTATACGAAAATAGTTGATGTAGTTGTAACTATCGGCTGAAGTGACTGAGACAAAACAGAATGTTATTAAACATCTCATTGTTATCTAATTTAACACAGCTTGAAGTAACGAAGTTACTGTATAACTAATAAAAACATGTCTCCATATGCATAATTGGCCATTTTCGTTTTTTAAGCTATGCTTGATCAGTTTATCACTGTGATAATGAATGAGTTACAAGTGGGTCCACCACCTGCCCCAGAATCAGCCATTGCAGACTTACCTACAAATGTTTTGACTGAAGAACAAGCATTAAAGTTGGGTATTTGTTCAATATGCTTTGATGATTTCAAAGAATCCGAATCGGTAATCAGACTACCATGTGCTCACACCTACCATCAAACTTGTGTTACAACATGGTTAAAACAGGTTAGTATTCTGTATATACTTTATTTTTTTGTAACAGTAAAAGAAAAACCTAATTTTTGATCTATTTTGAATATGCTGAACTCGGTTGAATCGACTCTGGTCACAGGTTTGAACTTTGTTGTCTACCTAACAAATAGTGAGCAACAGAGTGAGACCTTTGACGTCTTACTCGTATAGTCTATGGTCTGGTGTGTAAATATACACGTGTTTGCTAATTCTCACTTTCATGTCATGCTAAACATATAATTTGTAATCTAATCAATTTAATTATAGCCTTTATTGTGACTCTTTAATTGATCCCATGTAAATCATACTGCTTTTTACTTTCGCTAAGTTGACCTTCCAAGTACGTTCTTGTGTAACGCTACTCATGAATCTTCACTGAAACTAAAGCGATTGAACACCTACCTGGCTATTTATTATTGAATTTAGAGTCTTTAGATTATTGGTTCAAATTTGTTCTCTGCTATCAGAATAGTTCAGTGAAAGCCTTGTTTTCCTTCACATAATATGTTCAACTACATGAATATGCTGCCAAGATTTATTTTATAGGATTAGTGTCGAATAAGGTCAATCTGAATTTCGTTTTCTGTGTTGGTGACATATACAGTTTTAACGGGGCAGCCTTATCTATCTTGGCATTTACGTTCTTTATTCATTTTGACATTGAATCGTATCTACATCTAAATTATCACTTTTTATATATTTTTTCTCCGAATTGTATTTATAAAAATACGTGAATACAAAATACTGACTTGTCTATTGAGAAATAACGATAGTTGATTGCCACTTCACTTTCACTTTTCTCAACTTACTGTATTAATTCGAAATGTGACAACTTGAATCTAATGTCCTAAATTCTGTGACAATAACGAAAGCAATTCTTTATGTCCATTGTACTTGCTTGCAGATACCTCAACCATTTAAGTTGAAAAATTCCTACTGCACCTCAGTTAATACCCTGAACCTTAATCAGCGGTCTGATAAGATCAGTGAAATGACCAATATGATTGAACTGATAACTTACCCGCTCAATCTACCCTAATCGATCATGACTGGGGAAATAACTCAATCGATTATGAAGGAATTAAAACTGTTCGGTTACGAAATATGCAACCAAGGTTGCGCATTCGAGTAATTACCAAAAATAATGACTACTTATAGGTAAAAATGTGACGGAAAGACAACCAATCATCTCAAATCATACCATTATTTCTCAATAAAATGATGAATTCATGGAATACATTTATCTAACAAAATTGTTTTTGTTCTCTTGTAATGTTGAGACTGTATTTATAGAAGTTTGTTGCTAATAACTCTTTAAACTACGGGATTCGGTTGTGGATAGAAGAAAAGGAATACATGTTACGGGTGATTGTTTATTTCACAAATATACTCACGGACCAATGAACTACAATCAAGGCCTTAACGCTTACTGGTCCCGAAACCCTTCATATTCCGGTAGCCAATCAATGTATGCAGATTAATCCTCTGTTGTACTTAGTTCAGTTGATAACTCAAAAGTCATACTACAATATATACTTGAAATGACTGACGTCACAGCACACCAAATAAGAAAGTATACTTAAGACACAATCATACCATAAATGGCAGCGGGTGGACCGGATAGTGTAAAGTTAATCAGGAATAACTAAGGTATAGTAGGACGTTTAGCAACAGTTAATAGGTCCACTAAAGGCATAGAATGAGGGGAATATAGAAATGCAGCAATAAATTTATCTGCCGATTATAAAGCAAATTGTAGATAATAATCATAACCCGACAGTTCCAACCTCTTCAATATTTTCTCGTTATAACAAGATAAATTTGATAGTCAAGAGTAGCCTCATGACATCATTGGATATATCATCTGTATTGATTAATACTTCTTCACTACAAACACTCGATTTTATTTTCAGTGAACTTATAAAGAGATGTATAGATACTGTAATTTTTGTTTTTGTAATAAAACAGTTGATACACAGGTTCATGATAAATGCCAACTTCTAATCCAACAATGAGTACGTACTAATGACAGTTAGATCATGCAGTCGTGTGATCAATAATAGATCTTCTTTCCGTCCTTTATTATTGTAAAGCTGGAGAATAGACCGCTCAAAAACTTAAGCAATCAACTAGAATTTTCCTGTTCCTCATATAAATAACAATAACTATTATTAATCACTTTATTCGATATTATATTTTTGATACAATATAGAATTCTCAGCACAAAGTATTTCGACAAGTTTCCTTTCCTTATTTCTTCATCTATCCTAACGATGAATATTGAGTTATCACCAGTTAGATAATGTTAGCAGTTCAGGAATCGAAATCTGAACAATGGTCATTCTTTTCAATGCGTACTGACATCCAACACAATGTCTCTGAATGTACTTTTTTGTAAGTTGTACGGTAAAAGATTGTAAACTTCCCATAAACGCGTCTAAATAGGTTATGCGATTAAGAGCCATAATGATGTGTTAAGACAAACAAAATATAGGTAACTTGTTCAGATATGTTGATGTCAGAAACAGGTAGCCCAGATATTCGAGCAGGTCGCCAAAGTACTTTCATGGTACTGAAAAAAGACAATTTGCTTAACATTTTTAAAAACATTCAATTACATTTGTTGTAGAAAAAGAGCCGAGTTAATAGCATCTCATTTTTGTATGCATTACTAACAAGATTAGATGAAATTTTAAGAATGGTTGTTTGCGTATAGAATCATCGATTGAACAAAACATTCTGTTCGATATTTTTTATTATTTAAGTACAAAGGTATCCTCACTCAATGTGCTGTAGTAACTTGTTCCTATTGATACCGTCAAAGATTATTTAAGTAACATCTGTAGCCATTCTTAGTAAATTTGGATATTATCTCAAATTCGTCCACACCTAAACTAGGTAACAATGATGTGGGAGATGTTACTTTGTTAAAATCACAGTTCAAAACGTTGCCTGTAATATATTAACACGAAAGTTGAGGAAGACTGTTAACAATAATCAAACAATCACTAATAAGAAATGTCTAAATTTGCTGCATCCATGTGTGTGTATCATTTCTGGTTGTGAAGCCAGTTATACAGAAAACAAAATTCAGCAAATTCATCATTGTATCGCTGAACATTATCTGACATGGGTTAAAAGAAAAACAAGATCCAATTTTCGCTCACTTGGTTGACAGCAGCATCCTTATTCAAATACAACTCTTCGTGTTATTCACCATATTCCATCATATTTACCGCATGATTTACGGTTCTTACTTTGCATACTGATTTTATTCGCTAACTTTTGTGTTCAAAAAATGTTTGCACAATCCTCCCTAATTTGGCGATCGACAAAAGTCATAACAAAGCAGGTTGAAAAGAAACTTGGATTCCCTTCACTTTTCTCAGTTGTTCTAAATTCCACTTTTTATTAAGACGTAATCTTGACATTCGTCTCTTTAATTCTTACATAACCATTACTAAACTAATTTGTTATCAAGATATTTTTGCTAATTTTCTTATCAGGTGTTATGTAACCCGTTGACCATTGAACTTCATGTTTCAAATTTCTACAAGTAAATACTTTGATCATTATGGTTGTTTTACTTTTGTTGCAAAACAATAACAAAAAATTCGTACTTTTCAATTTCTGACTTTTTAGCATGGAACTTGTCCAGTTTGTCGAAAGGATTTATCCGGACGTGATACTTCACGATACGAAGATCCACCTCCAAACTTAACAGGAAATAGTAATGGTTCAAGCTCTTCCAATTCCTAGTCTTCATTATTCTTTCGATTTTTCTAAAAAAAAAATATAACCGCAAATTATATTCATTAAATTTGTCTATTTTCACACAAACACTTCAAAAACAATCCAGCTAATATATATAGTTATCGAAGTGTGTCAGCGAGATGCTGTATAGTTTCATCATTTTCTCTTTTTTTTCTGTCTCTTCCCATTGTGTAGCATATTTTTTCCTTGTGTATGTATGATGAACCCAACCAGCCCTGTGTTAATTTGTGTTTGACAATTTTTCCCTGTTTCTTCTGAAATCCAACTTTTCTATCAAGATTTTTTTTTACCAAGATTGTTACATTATCTTACCCAATTAATTTCACACTGACTATTAAATGCGTCCATCTTACTTTGTTTATCACTATTATTATTGTTCTTGTATTCACTAGCTTCGTGATAAGACTACTACTTGCTTTCTCATCCCACTCCACCTTTTTGCAGAAATAAAGTGAATACTCAGAAGAGGGTTTTTCATACTTCTCTACTTGTATTGTAGCAATTGTCAATTAATTATCAATCAATAAAAATAAAATGGCGAAACGATATTCCCTTTGGTTCAGTCTAATTGTTTATTCCGTCCGTTATTCGAATTCTCGCTTCATTATTTTATCTCACTATCAGTTACTTACTATTCCGTATAGATATACAGATAAGTATTATTGAAATTTCAGTTCAGTACCTATGTCATTTGAAGAAAACTTGAGTATATATAAAACTAATTAGCTTATTATATGTTTTGTTGACAATTTCAATATCTTTTTTACTTTATCTAAGGTTTATTTCGATTCCTCGCTTCTCTAAACAATCCGCAGGTTGGAAATGTTATAAAGACCAACCCTTAAAATTGGGAACTAGTGTGGTACCTCGTGACAGTGTTGATCAACATTAGTACTTTCTAATCAATGGCATAGACCTTGACTTCTCAGACATTTGTTATTGCTAAGAGAATAGCCACATCGCGAGTGCAGATCTTAACGTATAAACTAAGACTGAAGATTACTACTAAATACTAGTTAGCAACATGATCTTTCCTGTGATTCCCTTTGAGTAGGTGTTACGGCTAATTATATTCAAGTTGTTTGTTTTTGCCCTTGTATACTAAAATTCTTTTACATATTGTCCTCAGCATATAACGAGAGTTACATGGTATTGCATTCATGAGTTTTGGTTCCTCTTTTCTGGAATAATAAATTTACTTAACTGATGAGCAACTGAGTATATTCGACAAGCTACTGTTTTATTGAAACAAAGCAAGAAGGATAATATTAGCTGGATACTTTTAACTCTTTGTAATTCATTGTTTTCTCTTCATATACATATAAGCTAATGAGTTTGGTTAATTCAGGTTAACATTGCCTAATAAGTGAGGTGTTAATCAATCATATGGTCTAATTATACTGGAGAGGTATATCAATTATTTCATTGAAAAAACGTGAATCAGATTGCCAGGTGAAATATTGGATTTACTTCAAGTTCATTCAAGTACATTCTTCCTCTTTACAATTATTAATTGTTTTGTACTCTGAGGATTTTAAAATTACTTGGGCATATTAATTTTATTTATGGAGTTCTGTGGAGCGTGATTCTGAATATTTTCCATCGGTTAATCACATATAGGTAAAACAGTCTTTTTGTATATATTGTAAATGAACGTTTCCTGTTACAGCATATCATTGGGTCGTGATCAATGTCATGTGTCAAGTCCTTATTAGTGCAGATCGAGTGCTATCGACCAGGTTGCAATGTGGTCAGCAGTCTAGGTGACTCGACACTGCGTGCACTATGTTGAGATTAGATGATGGTTGGAGGGAGCATCAGTTCGCTCAAGATTACAGGTACACCTTGATGACGAGTGCCAAGTAGCACGAAACCCGGATCCAGGGTTTCCTGTCGACTATCTCCAACCACTATCTAAACTCTTCAAAAGTACTGCACATCCACAATTTCACCAGGAGTCGGACGTTGGACCTTTAGATTTCACAGTGAGTGCTTAACCTTAAGACCACTGAGCTGATACCCAACCAAACTTCCATTATCTTCAGTAACTGTCTTATATCTGACAGACTCCACTGATTAACAGTTTCTCACTATGAATTCGCAAATTACCTTTTAAAATTAGTCATTAGTGACCATATGATAATCTCCACATAGCGCAAATAAACTATAAAAAAACTGATTACACTAAATTAATAATAATTGACCAGTATTATTATTATTATTTTAAAGGTAAATCTACTAATCACTATGGACTGATTAGTTATGTGATCAACCTATAAGTTATGTCAGTATTGATTCACATATATGCTTTTAACCAGTCAAGTTACAATCTAAAAATAGTAGTGAGATATATTAATAAGACTTGTGAAATTAACAATAATCAATCAATAAAAATAAATCTATCGAATTAATAAATAAAAAACTTCTTGGAAAAAAAGGATTATTTCCGAATTAAAGTCAAACTCGACAACTAACGGTATAGTTTATTTATTTATTATTATTATTATTAGCTTTATTCAATATTATAATTTTGGTACAATATAGAATTCTCAGCGCAAAGTATTTCAACAAGTTTCCGTTTCTTTCTTCTTGGTCGGTCCTGGTGATAAATATTGAGGAATCGCCAGTTAGATGTTAGCACTTCAGTGAATGAACAACTGAATAATGTACATTCTTTTCGTTGTACATTGCCAGCAACCATATTGTCTCTTATTGAGTTTTCTGTAACTTTGACAACGAAAGGTTGTACACTTTTCAGAAACGCAGCAGAATAGGTTATGCGATTAATAAACATAATGATATATTAAAACAAACAACAATAGATAACTTGTTGAAATATCTAGATGGCAGGAACAGGTAGCCCAGATGCTCAAGCAGGCCGCCACAATCTATGTTAGTTTATTTATAACAATTACATGTGAATAAAAGATAGTCTCATTTTTTCAACTTATAATTTAATTACCAAGGTTTGATTTGATAATTTCGAATAAATTGAGCATTGGGTTGATTGTTATAAATAAATAAATAAAAATAATATATTTGTAATATCCTAATGAGTAGAAAATTGGATTTTCTGACGTTTCGTGACTTAGTGTAAGTCACTTCTTCAGAGAATAAATAACCAAATTAAAATTAATCCAAGTTTAAATAGTACAACGGAACAATGCAAGAATAATATTTGATCAATCAAAAAACACGTCTGAACAAGTTGATGTCTTGTCATTTCTGTCAAGGTGATTCATAAGTGATATGTATGTAAATTTGTGTGTGTATTTATGTGTGCATTGTTTAAGAATGAGAACTTGTGTGACCTTTATGGTAAGAAAGGATAGAGTTTACATTTGTAATATGATAGTGTGAAATTGTAAATGCGATCAGACTGAATGGCTAGGATAGATGGTTCAAGTAGGATGTATAGTAAGACCTTCCTTTCTATTGAGAGACGTAGGATTAAGCATTATATGGAACGCCTCAGCTACCCTCCTTTCTTTGTAGTTGGAAAAGCCTTTTTGCAATATTTTGATATTTTTAAAATTGATTTGGTGGTTGTT